AGCGTCGTCTGGGCTGCCCGTCGTGCCCAGCAGCCTTCCAACAAGCTCGCGGCAGAGCCCAGGCCCTGTTTCCTTCCTTGCTGATGTGCAACTATTTCCTGCGGGACTGAGTACACACGTGTCCACGTGCATGGGACATGCAATGTGGACAGACACCTGCTGCGGTTCCCCACGGGGCATCCTAGGCTTTCCTGAGTACCAGGTGTGTGCGCACAGGGTCTATACACATCTCACCTTGCCACAGGAAGCAGCGAGGGGCTGGCAGGGAACAGGGCCTTGAGCTTTCCCGGGGACGGAGCTGTCTGCGCATGCACCGCTAGCAGGCAAGCCACAAGCCCCCATTTCCTGAAGGGCTGACCCCAGCGGGGATGCCCTGCACTGGGCAGGTGCAGGAGGGGACAGGCAGCCCCGTGCCCGACAGCAGCACAGGCGCAGCCCCCCCCAGCCACCCCGGCGGCCCCGTCTCACCTTCCATGATGGAGATGTGCACGGCTCTCCGGCGGGTCCTGGGCACGCTGCTCAGCCGCGGCCCGTGCGTGATCGAGGGGCAGCTGCGGCTAGGGACCAAGCCTGCCCTGTGGACACAGAGAAGGGAGGAGCGCTGAAGCACGCGTGCTCATGTCCTGCCAGAGGCAAGTGCCCGGGAGCTCTGCTGACCAATGCAGGGTGGCAGAGGATCAGGCCCCAGCACGAGGCACGGACAGCATGTACTGCCATGCCCATCTCAGGGGCATGGGGAAAAGGCAACCTGGGGGTGCCTGGCACTGCACACAACAGCTGCCTGCAAAGGGAGGGCAGCGAAGGAGGGTCCAGTCCCTACATGGACCGGAGCAGAGACGGGCTCCCAAGCCACCAGGCTCAGGTCAGTCCCAGCATGGAGGCCCTGGCTGCAGGCCGGTGCCATTCAAGGAGCTCTGCAGCCCTGCATGAGTGCAGCTGCCCAGGGCAAGGGGACACAGCACCTGCTGTGGGGAATGGGGACCGGGCCTGAAACGTGGGGCTTGGAGATGAGCCATCGGGAGACACCAGTACAGACCCAGGGGCTGAAGGGACTGGGGACGCTGGATCTCCATGGCTTCGAGTGCCCTCGGCACCTGACCCACGTCTCCAAGGTCATGTCACGTGGCTGTGCGGTGCAATACGAGGTGCGTGCCAGGAGCTCTGCACAAATGCTTGGGAAAAGCCGCCCCAGCGCACGCAGGTGCACCGGGAATAGCAGCACTGAAGAGCCAGGGCGTCCCCCAGGCCCCGCCAGGCCTGCCGAGCTCACAGACGACATATTTAAGCCAAGCCTGGAGAAAAGCCCTGCTGCCTTCTGCTGACAAACCCGTGCTGGTTTCTGACATCTATACATGCCTCTTTTAAGCAGGCTTAGCCTAAAATTGCCATTTTTAAGGTGCATTTAGGGCGCGTGTCTACACGTGCACACCCTTAATGCGCCTTAAAAATGGTGATTGAAGGCTATGTGAGCCTAAATTTGACACCTGCATAAAGCAGATGTCAAATTTAGGTGGAAATAACAGTCGCATTAGCGCACATGTAGACACACTAATGCGCATTAACACAGTGTCCTGCATTAAGGCGCCACCCTGCATTGGTTAATGCACATTAGCATGTCTGTACGTGCGCTAAGGAGACGTAGCCTTAAGCAAAGGCACATGAAGTTTAGGCGTGCGTAAATACATGTGTAGACATGCCCAGTGTTACAGGCTGAAGTATGGGGCCGTTCGTCTGCGTTGCACGGTCACGGAGCCAGTCTGCAAGCCCGCAGCTGCTTAAAGGAGCCCTCCAGGCCGGGTTGAGAGCCGGGCGCAATGCCAGGGCCGGGGTAGCGGGATCAAGGCACTTGACACCCCTGGGGGGAGCCCCGCCGGGCTGCACGGCACTAGCTGGCACTTACCGGTGTATTTCCGGCGGCTCCCTCTTGATCTTGGCGCTCGACTCCATGACCTCTTTGGCGACGCGGCCGCTGCAAGTGGTTTGAGAACGGAAACGGGCAAGAGCTGAAAGCTACCAGGCCACCCCCCCGGACCGGGCGCTGCTGGCTACGGCCCTGCAGCTGGACGGGAGGGAGAGGCGAAGGCGGGGGATGCAGACAGGCCGGGGCAGGGATGCTGCAGGGTTTAGGAGGGAGACGGGCGCTCCCCGGGGTGCAGCACAGGAATTCGGGAGCCCGTGGACGGGTGACTTGGCCTCCTGCAAAGGTCGCGCTACACGCCAGGGACCGTCAGGAAAGGCTGGGGCTCGACGCAGCCAGGGACCCGCTACCTCTGCCACCCCGGGAGGGTCTGAGAAGAGCCAGTAACTGCTACTTACTGTCAGTATTTACCTGTATCGGAACCGGCTTCCTTTGAAGAACAAGTTGCTGCTGGAGACCGTGCGGACCTGGCTCGACTTCTCCAACCTGCAACGACAGGGAGCGCGTGGCGAACCTCCGCGGCAGGATGGGCCGTCGGGGGGGCCCCGGCCGTACCTGGCTCCCAACCCTGCGCGGGGCCGAGCACTGCCCGAGAATGGGGGAGCGGTGCACACTGCGCGGGGCGAAACCGCCCGTGGTCCCCAGACCCACGTTCAAGCTCACGCGCCCAGAAATATCAGCACAAGACAAACAGCTTTTTCCTTCCTCTGGGGGAGAGACTGGGACCTTTCCTGACCAGCTCCACCATGCCCGGGGCTCTCCTTGGATCCCCCCCATCCGCCCTGCTTCAGCCCCGGGTCCGATCCAGAGGCACGAGGCAGCATCCCATCGCCAGGACCCCGGCCGCAACAAGCGGGCCCACGTCTGCGGGCTGCCTTCAAGCCTGGCCTGGTCACAACCGCTGCGTGTGAACAGCTGTGCTCGTGGCGGGAAGCTCACCGGGCCGCTTGCGGTAAGCAGACCTGCCCCGTGTGCAAAGTCCCTCTTATGTCATAAAAATAACTACCCAGCTGCAAAAAAGAGCCAACCAGCTATAACGGTGGGACAAGTCCGTGGCTGGTGTGTGTCCAGCTGTAATTTGGATGCGGGGCCAGGCCACGAGACACGGAAAGGCCTGCCACGGGCTGGAACGGCAGCCCTCCATCGGCAATCCTCGCATCCCAGGAGCATCGATCCCTTCTCCCCGCTGAGGCCACAGCCTGCTTGACCGGGCGCCTTCCCCGCTGGTCGTTCCCTGGCTTCATTCATCACCAAGAACGATTTCCCTCCACGTTAACGCAACGAGAAATGAAACCTGCCGCTTGCAGCGGTGGACTGCGGCATTCCCAGAGAGGATACACCGCGCGCTTTACCCGGCCTCCGGCTGATGAAAAGCAGCTCGTTTTGGGTGCAAAGCGGTCTCTTTTTAAGAAGAAGAGCAGGCAGCGTGAGGATGCCCAAGTGAAGCGTGCTGCCCGAGGCCTCCCTGCTTTGCAGGTTGGCGCTTTCTTGCCCTTTCGCCGTCAGACCAATTCGGCACAGGAGGGAAGGGACCAAAGGCTGGGCCACTGCTGACAGCGGCCCGGTTCTGCACGGCCGCGGCGGTGCCTGCTTCCCCTTCCCCGGCTCCTCTCTCTCGTGCGCGCCTGTCCTCAGGGAAAGCTTCCCGGGGATGCCTGGCTTCTCTCCAGCAAGCCCCGCTCAGCCTGCCCCTCCGAGGAGACATCCCCACCCTGAAGAGACACCCGAGTCCTGAAAACCATGTGAAGAAGGGAGCGCAGGGGGACAGGATCCCATTCTCATTTCAGAGCCTGGGGTCCTACATTCCCGCTCTAAGCCCCTGCCAGGGAACTATTCTGCCAGTGAAAGCTGGTCCTGGCCAGCTCTCAGGGTTGAACTCATCCCAAGGTAAAGGGCTTGAACCCTGCCTTGCCCCCGTCAGGTCTGGTTTGCAGACGGGGCATGTTAAGTGACTTGCCTGCAGCCACATAGGAAGTCTAGCGGAGACGAATCCCCTGGTCTCCGAAGCAGCCCCGACCCACGAGAGCATCCTTCCTCCACCTCCGGCAGGCGAGGGGCACGGTGCCAGGCTGCTGTCACCCGCATGCTTCTATTTGAGCGGCGTTTGCAGTGGACGGCCCCCAAATTTTCACAGGTACAAGGATACCTTTTCTACACCATGACCTGGGCCAAATCAGCCAGCCGAGGCGAAGGCTTGTTAGTTCAGACTCGTATAAGCCCTGCGCCCGGGGCGCTGAGCACAGGTCTGGCACACGGCAGGGACCTGGCCTGCGCAGTGTAACGAGCACCTTAGCTGGCCACCCTGCCAAGGCAAGGGGGTCGGTGCTGCTTGCCGTACAGCAGCCCCAATATGTGACTTGTGGACTTGTGAGAATATTGGCCTGAAGGCTACCGAGGGAGATGGGCTTGCTATTTCTCCGCTTTCTTGCAAAGAAAGTCTTGCTTACTGCCAGCGTGAGCGGTGGGAGGGGAGGAGAGAGGCATTTCCCGTACTCTGGGATCGCTCTCGTAGCGAGGCGCCAGGCACGGACGCCATGGTTAGAGTCCAGCCTCTTTCATGCTCATGTCTCACTTCAGAGCCCGCTAACGTCGTCCTTGAGCTCCTAGCTGGTTTGCAAGCAGGTCGGGAGCGCCGTGTTGCTGGATGGCCTGGCAAGTCGGGAATTAACGGCTGGGAGGAGAGCATCGCACAAAGTCCTCCGGAGGCATCTTACCGCTTGCTCCAGACTGATGCCAAGCGCTCTGGTAAACCCCTCCGTGGCACGTCAGGGCAGCTCGACCAGCGGCCACGTCCCTGGGTCTCAGAGGCGGGTGGCCGGCCTCGGGTTGGCAGCATAGCAAGTGCTGCGTTCACACAAAGCCAAGCCGTGTTGCACACTCAAGCGTGAGCTGCTTTCCTGAGAAAAGGCAGTGAGTGCACGAGACGCTGGTGCACGCTGGATGCCATGGACAGGATTCGCACCAGCAGCACTACCGGCTTGCACAAGTGGGTGTAGAGATTGCAGCACTCGGTGCAGAGGGGTGCAAGTTGCCAGCATGAGCAGGGAGGGGCTGGGGGCGCTGGGCACGGGAAAGCTGCCAGCTCCAGGATGCACCACCCTGACAGATGCAGACTCGCCAGGGACTCCTCTCCTGCAGGCCCCGCGCAGCGGGAGGGTCGTGACCTGGGGGCGAGTGCAGAAGGAGCGAGCCAGAATCGGGACCTGATCCTGTGAGGCCTTCATTTTAGTCTCCTCTTGTGGCTGGGGGTGCTGCCCACAGGAAAACACGTGGTACCAAGAGACACCGCCCTGCTCCCAGCCCCGGCACTTACTTGTAAAAGGCTTGATTCTCTATGCCGCACTTCCAGAGGTGCTTGCAGGCTTCTGGCGTCGGAGCAAAGTAGGTGAGAATAATTTTCTTTTCCTACAAAAATTGCACATGGAAACAACTGAGTGTGATGGGAAGGGGCTGTGCTGCAGGGCAGCTAAGGGGACGCTACATGTTACACTTACACCGTACTTAAAATGTGAACGTCTGCACGGTAACACTCACTAACTCGTGCCCTCTGAGCATCTCAAAGTTGCACCTCTTCAAGCGAGGGTTAACTCTGGGCTGCGCTACCCAGCTCGCGTTAGGGCAACTTCAGTCTGTGCCACAGAGCTAAAACGAGCCATGTGTGGTCCTCCAGCACCCGAAGATGCACCACTCCCAGCTCCCCCACCCAATCCAGATACAGCTCGGGTATCCTGGCTCCAGCCCCGCCGGCACGGTTTCCCTGCAGTCACCGGCGGAGCTAGCTGGAGGAAAGCAAGCGTGTGCATGTTCACGCGTGCTGTGGGCACACGCCCGGCTGCCGTGGACATGCCTTGAGCTTAGCAGCAGACATCAGCCAAGGAGCTGCATGCGGCTGTGCTACCCGAGCCAGCGCCCAGCTTCCCAGCCTCTGAAGCAGAGATGTACGCGGCGAGCGGTGAGCCCCAGAACAAGGAGAAAATCCACTCACCTCTTTCTGACTTACGTATAAATAGAAGGTCTTCCCCTCAAACTTCAGTTTGGTCACCTCGTTCCTACAACCGCAAAGCACTCGTGTCACCGACGTGCTGCTGACGTCCCGTCGCAGACACCGCTAATGCAGAGCCCGCACCCCCCCACCCCTCCGGGCTACGCACAATTAAAGCCTGACCGTTGGCATGAAACTCGACTCAATAAGAACGCCTATTTTAAGGGCAGTCAGCAGAATAGTCCCAACTCCACGTTTTTTCGGTTCAGCGCGCGTGTAACGTGGTGACAGGTGGACGCCTGGCTCAGAAACAGTGGCTGGAGGAGGGGGCACATCTCGGGACGGGACGCGCGTCTCAGTGGGGTGCTCAAGGAGTCACTGGAGGACTCTGCGTATAACGGGTGTGCACCGTCCGGATGAGACTATCAAAGTGAGGCACCACACTTAGCTGATGAGGCCGAAATTGGAGAGACAGCAAAGAATGAAGAACGATGCAACCAGATCTGGAGGGTTGGGGGGGAGGAGGGAGGTCTTTCAGGTGACTGTGCCAATACATGGACGATGCCATTAAATGCAGACAGATGTAAAAAAATAATAAGTCCGGGGGGCCACAAACCAAAGAGAGAGAGGACAGATTACAAGGAACAGCCATGCAGCGTACTGACCAGGAAAGGGGTTTAAGGGGTATTGTAGAAAAATCCTTGGAGACATCAGCCCAGTGTGTGGCTGCAGTAAAAAAGGCAAACAGGATACTGGGGTACATCAACACCGGGACAGAATACAAAGCAAGAGAAGTGACACGGTAACTCTACATCGCACCGGTTAGACCGTCGCGGTGGCTGCCTGACGTCCCCTGGCCAACGGCCCCGGAGTGGGGACCGCCGGGAGCGCCCTGAGGCCAGGGACGGGCTGCCCCTGCTTGCTCTAGGTCTAACTGGCCACGGCGCTCAGCCGCTGTAGCAGACCCCGGGCGTCTCCATGCGGCAGGCGGGGGCTCACGTGCACACGTTACCACTTCTGCTTGTCCACGTGTGTTCAGCGTGTGCCACATGCCCACCACATGACAGCTGAGGCGCCCATGAGCTCCATGCATGTGACACGTGGCTGGGGCCAGGCACTGCGCACCCTCTGCAGCAGCAGACCGGGCTCGGTGGGTGCGCCGGGGCTGCAGGGCTGACAACCCTTGGGCACACGCGGGGACCCGGGATTGGGCTGCACGCAGCCGTGTGTGTGCAGCAGCACACGGCGTTGCTGAGACAGAAAGCATGCAGGCCCCTGTGAGCACCACCCTTCCTGGGACCCGTGAAGCACCCCCGAGCGCATGCTGGGCACAGACCCACTCCCGCGGCCGGGGCCTGGGGAGCCCGGGATAAGGACCAGGCTGTGCTCTCCAAAGGGCGAGGTTGGCTAGACGCCCTCATTTGGGAACCGCTGTCAGCAGCATGGGACGAAAATGCATGCAGCGATTCAGGCTTTAAGGACAGTCCTCAGGGCTAAAACGATGGAGCCTCTATTCACCCGGGGGCAGACGAAGGCAGGATGACCTACGGCTGTACGGAGGTCGGACTGCAGCCCGAGTCCCTGAATCCTGGGAAACCCCTGGTACCCCATCCCCTCTCTGCTGCTGCGTGACCAGGAGACTGGGCAGGATGGACCGAGGGTCTAACCCAGAAATGGTAGCTCTTATGCTCTCGTGTAACCCCCCAAAGTTAAACCTATCCAGCCAAAGCCCATCCAGACGGGGGTGGGTGCCACACAGCACCAATGCAGGTGTAAATACAGCTGGGGGAGTGGACATAGCTGCGCCTGTCCATGCTGCCTTCAAACCCTGCTAATGCCTGACTGTGCAAACTGGTGCTTGAAATGAAGGCAGTAAATGAGGCTTGAGCTAGGAGGCAGAAACCTCCCTGCCCCAGGGGAGGAGACGGTCCAAAGAGGTCTGGCAGATGAGCAACCTCTGGCAAAGCCGGTCAGCTCCAAGGCCCATCCTCTGGCCCCATGTGCCCTTCCGACTGGGCACCACTGGCAGCTCCTCCAGGGAGGAGGGCACTGGCCTTCCCACGCGGAACAGAGGAGGGAGACGAGGGCCATTGTGGGGGGAAGAAGCCAAACCCAAGCCTGAGCCCCAGCCCAGGGACCTTTCAATTGCACCCAGCAACAGACCTCCTAGCTTGGGATCGGTCCCTGCCAGCAGCTTCCTGGAGCCGACCCCCGGGGCATTGCCTTGGCTCTGCAAGGGAGGCTGGCCCCGGCAGTAAGGGGGTCTCGGGCAGGAGGCGAACGCTGCCATGTGCAGAACAAATGTGCAGTAGCACGGACTGCGTGCAGGGGGTGGAAAGCAGACACTTGTACCCAGCCCTGGTTGCACACCCTCCCCGCTATGCACAGTAGTGACCACACGGGTCCCAAAGCCGTGCCTCCAAGGGACGGGGGGTGCCAGTGGCTGACGCCTGCGTGGAGACACGTCTAAGCGCCTGCAGCGAGCGATGGCCGTGGGAACAGGAGACACATGGGACAAGAGCCAACGAGGCGGGGGCACACCCGGGGACGAGACAGATGACACCGGGGTGGGTGGCAAAGGAGGACAGCGAGGGTGAGAGACATGGGAAGGGCTCTGACTTGCCAACCGGCCCCCCACCTGAGACCCTGCCTCCGGGTGGGGACGAGGCATCCAGGCAGCAAGGGCGCCTATCGACCATCCAGGACGAGCACGCACCACCTCCCACCCTGCTAACGATCCCTCGGGGACCTGGAGGCCTCCTGGGGCACTTGTACACACCACGCATTTAATCCTCATTAACTGATGTGGAGGGAGCCGTTGCAGCAGGCGTGGGGTCCCTCTGCTCTGACTCTGTGCTATACCCCGGACCCGTGCAAAGCCCAGGCCGCTGGATCGCATAGCAGGTCTGCGCTCCAGGGGCGCAGGATGTGCTGCCTCCCCTGGGTTGGGCAAAGGGGCTCTTTCCTCCCTGGTGGAGCTCATCACCCTTGGAGCAGGACCAAGACGCACGCTTGCAAGGACCTCGCTCTCCTCCAGGCCCACCCGTGGGTGCAGCCACCCCAAAGCCCGGTGGTAGCAGCAAAGAGTTCGGGGCATCTCGCGCGGGGAGGTGCTCAGGTGGCACCTGAGTTATTCCTAACAGGAGGCCGCTGGGTCAGGGGCAACCGTGCTACACCCAGCGCATTTCTTAGGCGTGCCATCGGTGAGCAAGCGAGTGGTTCTTGACACAAGTAGCTGAAACAAATAAGAAACACTCAAAACACGTGTGGAAACGGGGGGGACAGGGACGCGGGACTCACCATTTGATGAAGTGAACTCTTTTGTTTCCCTGCAGAACAACAAAACCAAAGGGAGTGAAGGCCAAAAATGCCGCGTTTCCCGACACATCCTGCAACACAACAACATCTGCTCGTCAAAATGCTGCAGCGCCGGCAACGGTTACAAGTCAAAACAGCATTGAGTCCCGAGTAAGGTGGCGTTAATGAACCTCGCGGCCTGATTCTGCCGAGAGAAGAGGTCTTGACGGTTTTATTTCGACCGTGACATTCAGCCTGTCTGCAGGTGGCTTCAGGTGCTTAAAAAAACCCCGCAGAAGGAGCTACTCGAGCAGAATCCATGAGCAGAGAAAGCAACGCAGCTCCCCTGCCCGCGATGCTATTGATTTACGGGGAAAGCCACGAACAATGAACATCGCCCTTGAATCCTTTCATCGCCAAGTCTTTCACTAATAATTCAACTTGGACTCCGTGAAAAAACCCCTCTGACTTGTGGCTTTCTGGACTGCGTTTGCAGCTGGCCAGTCATTAGAGCCACGTCCCGTGCAGGTCAGTAGTTTAATTTAATCACAACAGCCAGGCTGCGGTGAAGCCGCCATGGGTTGTACTGGCAAATGTGCAAAGAAAAAGAGAGCAGGTGCCCACTTTTCGAAGCGCCGTGGAGCAGGGGGTTGCTCTATAGTTCAAACCGACGTTCACTTCCCTTTACAAAGTGGATTTTCAATGTGCTGCGAGGACAGATTTACTGCATAGATTTAGAGCAGGCAACAGCAGTCCCAAGGGCCCAGAGGCAGGGAGAGAAATCCCAAGTGACGTGCAGCCCCGTGCACCAAGCACGTGCCCTCTATTCACGCCTAAAGCTCCTGCCTGAACCCTACAGACCCCCATCCCCTCTTCTATGCAGGGAGAAACTCTCCCCCGTCGCACCTTCAGGAAAGCCCTGATGCAACCCGGTGCACCCGGGGACAAGTGAGCTTTGAAGCAGTTAGTTAATTAAATAACAGCAGATCGTTCCTCTGCCCAGCAACGCATAATTACCTCTGAAGGCAGCCAGGGGAAAGGTAAGGCCTTTTGCTCGGCCATCCGGAGCGGCAATGCGCCAGCTCCTAAATCAGGGTCCTCCCCGCGCCCCCATCAAGACCAAATCAGCCGTGGAGGTGGCTGCAGGGTGATGTGTAAGTGCTTCCATGCCGGCGAGCGCTACCGGGAGCTAGCAGCCCTGAGACTCCCCCAAAACCACCCCAGTGCTGTATTTCAATGCACAGAAAAGGCCACGGATCTGCCCTGCCCGGTCTTGCCCCCTGTACTCCTCAGGGCATTGTCACCCCTAGGACTAAGCTACCGCTCTGCCTCCCAGCCCGTTCCTAGCAGACACGTGGCCCACTGCTCGCTCAATGAACCCTTGCAGCCAGTGCCATCACAGCCGTGTCATTCAGCCAGCCCCGGCGCCTGCCTTGGCTGTATTATGCTGAAGGTCGCGGAGGATGTCTTTCAGAGGTCCGTTCTTGCTGGGCCCTGCTGCGCTGGATGCCAGCACGGTCCTCGCACCGGCTCTGTGCAAGGCCGGGGAGACGGCGGTGTTTCTCCTGCCCCCAGCCAGCACATCCCGGGGTAAATGCACCAGAGTCGTGCGACACACGGAGCAGGCGGCTCTCAGCAGTTGGCTCTCGCAGCCAGGATGCTGCTGCCCTGTGATGGCCCTGCTTTATTGCTCCAGACAAGCTTGATTCTCTCTTTGCTCTTCTGACCCCATGTCCAGATGCCAGACTAGTACCGTGGGAGGAAGTTTTCTCTTTTCATCAACCCGTTCGAGTGAGAGGCTCCTGGAGAGGGTTCACTGTTTTTACCGAGGGAGTTTGTGGCGCTACAGACTCGTCCATGCAAGGAAACAGAGGCTGCAAGCCCTACGCCTGTGGGGATTTCTGAATAAATCAGCACGCCTTCTTCACGGACAACACACGTGGTCAGCAGACGTCCACTCTTCTCTGCCCTCCTGTCTTCTGGGAGCTGGTCCTCTGCAGACAGCACGGCCCGGGTCAGTCGTACAGGTGGAGACCAGCCAGGTCGCAGTGGTGCAATACAGACTTCCTTCAGCTCCGAACCACGCTGTGTCTGAGAGCAAGTACCATCAAAACCGAGATGGCCTCCAGCCCTAGCGTGGGATCTGCAGCCACCAGGAGGGATCCCTGCCAAGGGAGGGGGTGCCGAGCCTTGCTTTCCCTGCTTGTTTCCACCATCCCAGCACAAAAATGCAGTTTCCGCCCTCATGTTCCAGCTTTGCAGGGCAGAGAGACAGTTACCCAAAATACAGGCGTCAAAGCTGTGTGGGAGCTCAGCCCCCTGATCAGATCTCAGAATATGAATTCCCTACATACTGGTTTTAAATCCAGATCAGATCAAAACTCACGTCAGTCCCTAGAGGGTGAATGGCCAACAGGAAAAGGAGTTCAGGACTCAGTTCCACCTCCTGCACAAATCAAGTCTTAAATCCTCCAACGAATCGTGTCTGAGATGCAACAGCCGTGGCTTGAGGAAGAGGAGGGATTTCTATACATCTCCACAGTGACGGGCCGTCTACGCGAGCAGAGAAAGCACCGCTGCAAAGCACGCGTGTCTTGCACAGGCCAAGCCATGAGCACCTGCTGCAGCTAGACATTTGGAGGTGCAAAGACAGTTTACACCAGCTTTTGCTTTCTGATCCAGGGGCTGCGAATCGCTTCGCCAGGCTGCTTGCTCTGCGCTGGCCTGGCTGCCTGCTGTCACCCAAGAACCATTTTGGCAGCCACAGAGTGACGTGATGGGACTTAGGGATGTCAATCTGTGAGCGCTGGGATGAAGAAGAGAAGGGAGCGGCGGTGGTCAGGGACTCCCAGGACTTGGCGGGGAGAAGAGAGAGAGAAGAAGACTGGCTTCCTTGACAAGGGGGGCAGAGCACGGTCAGGAATGAGAGCAGTCGGCAACTTTGGAGAAGTGCAAATGAACTCAGATAACAAGACGTGGGGAATCACCCAAAGCTGCTGCAAGAATGAGCTGGAAAGATCCCAGAGCCAAAGGGATTTGGATCCACTGGAGATCTGAGCTGAAGACAACAAAAGGAAAGTGAACCAAGACCAAAGCAAGGTGCTAAAGTTAGTCCCAAGTCAGTCCCCACACACGGTGTTACTGCGCAGTACGGCATCTCCACGTGCATCACTGCGCAGTAACTAATCGGGAGTAAATGTGATACCTGCACGACGCTTGCTTTCCTCCAGCTAGCGCAGCCAGTGACTGCAGGGGAGATGTGCTGTGGGGGCTGGCATGCAGACCCTTCCCCTGAAGACGTACTTGGGTCTCAGGCATGGTTGCCCTGTGCTGCTGCATCTTCAGGGCCATCGCAACTCTGCTGCCTACATTTGGGCCAGTGCTTCTCAACCAGGGTGCCCTGAGGTCCTGCATGATGCAGGTATCAAATGCAAACCCAAGTTGGCCTAAGTCACCATAGTTACGGGGCGGTATGGGCGTGCATGTGTAGACGTGAGCCTGTACTGTGCAGTAATTTAGGTTACTGCGCAGTAAATGTGCATGTGTAGACACACCTACTGGCTTGGATATCACACAGACGATTCAGAAGCAACAGAAAAATCCCCTTTGTGTCTCTCCCTAGGTATCTGAGATACCTTCGGGGGACCCTGTGTGCCTCTCCCTAGGTATCTGAGATACCTTCGGGGGGAGAAAGGAGCTACCCAGGCCATAACGGTTCTCAAAAACTGTCAAATACAAACTTGATGCCTGAAGGATACAGCCAGGGCAAATACAACACAAGCCAGCACTCATCAATGCGTCCTAAACGTGCACATCCAGAACCGCAACCCTCCCGCCCCGCAGAGCACGGGATATTGGGCTGTAAATACAAAAAATCCACCTCTTCGGTGTTGCTAATCTGGGCGGCATCTGATTACACTTTTTATTATGCTGTAATTCAGTATCGTTTCTGGGCCCAAATGACTCAGAAGCCTGAGCACCATCCATTTTTACTGGGATTTAGGCTCCTTAGTCACTGAAGCCCTTAAAAAAATGTCCTTTCCCTTCCCTCCTTTGTTCAGTGCCCAAAGTATTCTGGCCAGGTAGGAAGGGAGCTGGGGAAAATGTCCTACAAAAGGCATGTTTTTGCTAACGAGCCCATTCAGAAGCAAGCCAACAAAAAGTACGATGAAACCATGGAAAATGGAAGCGAAGCGTCTAAGCCGCATTAACAGAAATTAAACGTAGCATTGTCGAAAAACTGCATTCGGTATGAACTGCGCCATCCGTGATTTAGCACGGCTTTGACGGGAGCCTCTCAGGGCAGCTCAGGACGGCAACTGCTTTTGCTCAACACAGTCCCATTGTAACGTGGCTCCGATTCACGTGGAGCGTTTAATAGGGCAGTATCCATTCAGGGAGGAGAAGGTATCCGCCGCGCGGAATAGGCCTTCCAGAACGTATTTATCACGCCGAACCAAGGCAGGATTCATGGGTCACTGGGACCTGAGCTGGGTCACAAAGAGTATTTTATTCTCTTGGATTATCATTTTGCAGGAGAGAGATTATTTTCACAGCTAGCTCTTTCATATTTCATCCCTGCCACCGCCGACTTCTACAGATAAAGAAAAAGGAAACTTCAAAAAGGCAGCTTGGCCGACCGCTCTCGGGGAGCCGCCTGCCTCGTCGGTAGACCCCAATGAATATTTCACACTTTCCCCTGGGGTTTGGTAAAAACAAAGTGATTTATGTTTTAAAGTTGACTTTTCTTCTATCATCATCTATCGGCTCCCGGATTTAACCGAAGCACACGTATGGAGAAGGGAATTTCCCTCTTGGTTCAATCACTCAGCCAACGTGCTCACAAACAGGTCACTTTGCACGTGAGGCTGTGTGCTAGCCCAGCCCTCTCTTGCACACACCACACGTGCCCACACACACGTGCACACGACGTGAGGAACGCTGTGCGAAGAGAGCGGCCGTGCTCCACGGAGAGCTTTCCACGGGAAAATCTCAATCTGCCATCGGGGCAGAAAGCCTCCGAGCACCTCGCTGCTGCGACCCTCCGCTCATAAAAGCAGCCTGACTTGTGCTACGCACCCCTGGCAGCCAGTTACACTCAGCGAGAGGCTCCGAGACCCGTGCATGCGCGTGCACACGCACACCCTTGCAATGCTCTCCCCTACGGTTGTTATTACTATTGTTATTTAGGTTTGCACCCTGCCCTGCCTAGAAAGCCTCAGACCGGCTTCTGATGCAAGACAAACCACCCCCAGGATACGAAGCAACAATGGGTTCCCCAAGCACCCGCAATGTGACCCCACAGCCTGCTCTCTCCTGCTTCCCTGCCTGTCACGCGAGAGAACAAACCCTCAGGCCCCTCCTGACCCTTTAAGGGACCAAAGGTGCAAAATAAACTGCTAATGAAATACCGCGTCACGGCCTCGGGGCTCATCTGCCCTGCGGGAATGGGAAGCTCTGGGCTCCGATGCTGCACAGGGGAAGGGTGCGTGGCAGTCTAGCGGCCATGTCCTGAGCAGGAGGGACTAGATGGCATCTCCAGGTCCTTTCCAGACCGATTTCCTCTCATGCAAAACATCAGAGGGACAGAACGGGTTCACTAAACTGTGCAAGGGGTCCAGTCATCACACTGCAATGGGTCCGGTCACCACACCGTGCAATGGGCCCGGTCACTAGACTGTGCAATGGGTCCAGTCACTGGACCGTGCCCGGTCACCAGAACGTGCAATGGGTTTGGTCACCAGACCATGCAATGGGTTTGGTCACCAGACCGTGCAATGGGTCCAGTCACTGGACCATGCCCGGTCACCAGACCGTGCAATGGGTCAGGTCACCACACCGTGCAATGTGTCCAGTCACCAGACCATGCAATGGGTCTGGTTACCAGACCGTGCAATGGGTCCAGTCACTGGACCGTGCCCGGTCACCAGTACGTGCAATGGGTTTGGTCACCAGACCGTGCAATGGGCCCGGTCACAGTTTGCTGTAAACCTTGTACCTCAAAGCCTGGCTTTCCTGAGGATATCACAAAGAGAAGCCGCGTCCCCAGCTAGAGAGAGGCAGGGGGCTGGGGCTGAGACGGGGAAGGATATCAGTGTCTTGGAAGGAGGAGTCCTAGAGAGATGGAGCCGTGCAAGAGAGAGCCCCCTGCCCTCGGGAAGCCTCAGGGCAGAGGCCGAGGCCGGAGGAGCCGGGTGTGCGGGTGGACAGACGCCAGGTTGGAGGGGACGTGGCAGCCAGGCAGTGGAGAGCAATGAGAGGAGGCAAAGCAAGGGAGAACGGGGCAGGGTCTTGCTTCTGGAAGGGAAATCCAGAATGAAGGTCCCCAATGGAGACAGGTTAAGACCTAGATAAAGGGACACGGGCTGCCCCAGAGCAGCGCTGACTCCAGGCCCGGCTGGCCAGGACGGTGAGCGAGCAGGCAGGCAAGGTTCAGGACCCTCCCGTGTGCCCCCCCCGGGTCCCACCGGGACTTCCCTGATGTCAGAGCGTCTCTGCAAAGCCGCTCAGGGTTGATGAATTTGCAAACCTCCGATGGGAAAACGTTTGAATAGGACGTCTCCCCGGAGCTCGACGCATCGTATCCATCACTCGCAGAGTGACGTCTCGCCGGGTTGATAAATTGGAGGTACTTGTTAACCCAAGGGAAAAAAAACAGCCCTTCTCGCTTCGAAATAAAGGGATGATTTTCTCACGGTAAAAGGGAAAGCATCCTTCCTCCGCGGCTGACGCGCCATCCATCAATCCGCTCTGGCTGTCTCGCAAAGCAAACCCCAACCTGCACCAGCCGGCCGCCGGGAGCATGGGGGAGTTTGTGGGTGAGTATAGGATTTGTGGGGGTGAGGTTTGAGGGGCATGGGGCTTGTGCAAGGTTTTTGGGTGTGTGGGTGAGCAGTTTGTGGGGGTGACTTCAGGATGTGGGGGGAGCTGTGTGGGTGGGGCTGCTCAGGAGGAGTAGGTCCCCTGCCGCCCCCCCCCCCCCCCCCCGGCGGCCCGCCGGGGGCCGCGGCGTCGCTTGCGGATAATGCAAGCGCGTCTCCTCCGTCCGTCGGCAGCCGTGCAGACCGCGGCGCGGTGGAAATACCAGCCTGCTGCCATTTAATTGTATCTGAACGATCCCGGCTCTCGCTGCTCCCGGGGCAGCTCGCTCCAGATTCTCCCTGCCTGGCAGGAGTCTGGAAGCTAAGGGCGGTAATCTTTATTTATTACACTTTATTGGTCTTGCTGTTTCCATCTCCCCGAGCAGGAAAATTTGTGTGGATGTTGGCCAGCACATTACCCACGTGAACTCTATTTAGCTAACGAGATACAACAGCAACTCTCGTAATGCCTGCTCTTCTCTTTGCATGCTGGTGGCCCGCAGGAAGGCGCCTCGAACGCTCCCCAACGTCCGGCATCCAGCGATCGGGGTCATGGACTTGAACAGGCTCCCTGTGGTGGCCGCAGCCCCCGTGATGAGAACTGGGGACAGAAGAGGGGAAAACGTCTCTGGAAAGGGCGTGGAGCCCGAAGGCGAGGGAAGTCGAAGAGGTCAAGCGTCGTGGGGAGGTGCAGGGCCGATCTGTGTCCGGCTAGGTCAACACCGGAGTTTGGCAAACTAAGAAAACTGAACCAACAAAGCAACCTGCTCCCCCTGCCCCTGCCCCGTCCATCCCGGCTCTGGTCCCTCTCCGTACAAGCACTAGTGGCGTCACAAATCCAAAACAGAGCTCAAAAAACAAAGGACTGAGCCAGCAGCTGGGGCTGGCGGCTCCTCGCACGCACAAACACGCGTGCAAACCGTCCCGAGGCTGGGGAAATTCCCTTGCAGAATCCCAGATGGCCACAGAGTCGGGACTTGCTTCATTAAAAGATGCTCGGCCTGCTTTACACGTCCCATCCACGTCCACGCAATGCTCTCCTAAGTGAGGACATGACAGCCCCATGCAAAGACTTACAGTTCCCCGGTCAATCAAAAGCATTTTGGGGAAAAAACTAGGGA